CCCCTACCCACACCCCCTCCCCTACCCATACCTCCTCCCCTACCCACTTTGATGCATTTTTCAAATTTCGCCTTGGGGCGGAGTTATCTTTTCACAGGGTGGGTAACATACAGTTTAAAGTTCAATTCCAAAAAAAGAAGAGAGAAAAAAAAAATCTTGTCCAAAATAGTCCAGAGAAGGAAAAAAAAATCTTTTGGCTTTCAGTGCTTCAGAAAGCCTGTCAGACACTCGCATACATGCTGCCATGGAAACCGGGTCGCCTGGTGGTTTGTAATGGCTCACCTTTCACTCGTCCCTTAATAACTGCTGAGGGCTGCAGACTCACAAAGTTACATCTGACACGAGCATACACAGACACAATGGGGCATACATTCCTTTTATGTCATTCTTTTTATGTCAGGAATGTGGAGTTTCAGTAAAAAAAAAAAAGTTGAAGCTGCAGGTTGACCTTCAGAGGTGATATAATGGAAAAGAAAGACWGACCATCACTGTGAGTGGGAATTCAGTGACGGGGTGTCAAAAGGTTCAAAGTATAAATGCAGTAAGAGAGTGTAGTCCTAAGGTTAAGTTGCAACTGTAAAAATAATCTCAAATATTTTTAAGAAAACAGAAAATAAAACGTTTTATTTGTTAGAGATATTTTTGGGGATTTAGTCAAATTTTTAGTGTTTTGTTCAGGGTTTCTGGCATTCAAAGTGGAAAAACCACCATTTATTTATCAACAATTGAACTATTCTTCCATCCATCATTCATTATTTTGCCTTCTTTTCTGKGTTACCCACACCGAGGGACAGCTATTTGTTTGTTTGCAAGAGAAAAAGGCAAATCATCAGTCAGACTCTTTTCTTTCACTCACCTAAAAAAATAAATAAATAAATAAAATGATTTCAGGTGTGCATGTTTCCTTTCAGCTGCATTTTTCTCACCTGGTGCTTGGAAATTCAATTTAATCCCACTTCGGTGCTCAAAGCTTTGACCGAAAATTCAAGGTTAATGACTCGGTGGGTGGAAAAATGAAAAAGACTGTGTCAAAGTGTTTCAGTAATTGCAGGCCTCCTGTTGAGGTGGGAAACTGCCAGTAGTCAAATGCCAGTTCAGTTTGTCCTGTGATGGATCCTGGAGGCCAGATTTACCTGATGTTGTGGCAGGTRACCAAAATATTAGCTTATAATCAGGAAGCATACTTGTATTCATGAGACCTTTACAGTTGCTGGGTAACAGTAGAGAAGAAAACATACGCACAATGTTGTGTACTTTTTTCTTTTCATTTTTACATTGGCATTTWCAAACCCACAACTTCCCACACCCTTCTTTTTTCATACATGTGACCTAAAACTTGACTACTAAAAGAAGACGGTATTCTGTTTTATTCAGTATCACATATCTGCCAATGAAAATCAAAGCTATTTAGGTAAAAGGCTCGCATTAGTGCTCAGACAAACCTGCAATGGAATATTAGTGTCACACTACCAGATTAATTAATTAAATATTTATTTATTTATTTGTAATAACATATTAAAGTCATATTTTAAAGAAAGAAAAAATATCACATGGGTATGCCGTAAACAGCATCCAATGTGTGTCACTGTGTTGATGAAAAAGTCCACATTTACTTTTAGGTCACTATCAGTGTAATATACAGTACTTCCATCTGCATTATGTGATGACTAAATCCATCAATGCAGCCATTATCATACGGCTTCAGTTTATCATATGAATCCATACAATCTTGTGCAAAATTGTTTCAAAATCCTGCTACTGATAATAATTATAAGTATTTCCTTCAAGATGCTCAACATTCCTTATTTTAACATAATAATAAGACAGATTTTTTGTGGAGTTCTTATAATACTACAACTTTATTATCATAATATTATGA